GACACTAGTTAATGAGTAGCTTACTTATTACAAACGTCTGCAGCCAGATGTAGAGCTGGTTTCCGTATCTGGAAGCTTTAGACCTCAGAAGAACTGACATTACTCATGCTCATGCCTCATGCTTTACTCTGTCCATTATGATGAACTCATGAAAATTCATTCATTTATTTTTAAATTAACGGTCATAGTTCAAACAGTTAGACATGACAGTTGGGATTTGTTTTATGATAATACTTATATAATGATAAATTTATTATCTGTGAATATAAAACAAGTACATGTGAATTTATCAGTTATCTTCGCGGTGGCATACGCCGTTACATCTGTCACGCACGATAGCAAATTTGATAATGATATTTGAAACCTTGAAAAATGTTGTTTGATGTCTAGTGATTAGATATTGTTAATAAACTCCGTCATTCTGTGGTTGCGTTGCGACTGTTACGTGGAATATGCTGAGTAACCCTCGCAGACTGCATCTCAATAATGATAATTCTTACTTGAATCTAAAAATATGATAAATCATGTACATGATTTTAAAGATACGTTGTGTCGGGTCCATATAAACCATATATTTATAAAATCGTTAATTTCTAAAATATTAGACATTTGATTTAGATTCAAAGTAATGCTCTGTTACGTGTAACGACACGTTGAAAGAATGCGAGACTAGTAAATAGACAAAATGCGCGTCAGTTGCGTCGCATGGACGCATGAACCTGTGAAGCCCTTATGTTTCGGTTTCGAAGGCTAGCGTAAGTCTAGGCCTACCACCCCGCTCACAAAGTACGACCAGTAGAAAGTATTAATTACATTACTAATTTGTATATAACTGATCGGGCAAACTTTCTCTGTATTCTTTCAATCATAACGTTGTATTTTTTTCTCGTAGGGATCGAAAATGCAGCAAATTTATGTATCGATAGTATTGAAGAAAGCTATTAGTTGAATAATCTTATGGATAGTGTTATTATAAGAGAGAGTAGTAAATATAATTATATATTATTTATTGAAACTCCATAGGTAAGACCCGATTTAGATTTGTATTTTAATACCGGTCTAATAATAACTTTGACAGTAAATTAAATTGCATTGAAAAATATCGACTACGGTGAATGCGAATCAAACCCTTCCGCAATCCTTGGCGAAATAACGGAAGGTGTCTTATTCATTTACCTTTATGATTGAGAAGTTTTGATAAGCAAAATGTAATATCCATTTAACATAGCATGTTACTAGGACTGCTTGTTAAATTGCAGAGGCGAATCCACTAAAACCACCTAGTGTTCCTGGTTATGGTAAGCGATGCTCGAAAGCAGCCCAGTGGACCTCTTTACGTGCTGTTGAGACTCACCCATAAACATCAAATCAAAATCAAATCAAAATTTATTTATTCAATTTAGGCTTTTACAGAGCACTTGTGAAAGTCGAAAACTACGCCATCGGTTCGCAAAACTACGGCGGGAGACCTTGTACTGAGAAGAACCGGCAAGAAACTCAGCAAGGGCTATTTTTTTCTCCCTGTTTTATTTCACACAGAGAAGTCTTATTGAAAAGTGACTTCATTAGAATATGAAGTCACTTTCCATTACAATATTAGAAAGTAAATACAACAAAGTTAAAATATCTAACACCATGCCTTTTTGTCATTTAGATATTCCTTAACGGTATAATACCCTTTACTTTGTAGACAACTTTTTATATGACTTTTAAAATGATTTATTGGCAAATCTAATACATCACTGGGGATCTTGTTAAAGTATTGTATACCTTGACCCATGAAAGAACCTAATACCTTCTGTAACCTGTAAGAAGGCACTACTAGCTTGTTTTTATTTCTAGTATTAAGTTTGTGTACATCACTATGTTTGGTATACACATTAATATTGTTCCGGACAAAAAGTATACAACTATATATAAATTGAGATGCAACCGTCAATATTCCAATTTCTTTAAATTTCTCTCTAAGAGATATTCGCGAACCCAACTGATAGATAGATCTTATTGCCCTTTTCTGTAAAACAAATATAGACTGAATATCGGCTGCCGTTCCCCACAATATAATGCCATAGGACATGATACTGTGAAAATAACTAAAGTACACTGTCCGGGCAGTTTCTATATCGGTAATTTGTCTTATTTTTCGTATGGCATATGCAGCCGAGCTGAGTTTACCAGCTAATATAGAAATATGCGGGACAGGGATTTGAAATGCACGGTCGGCACGCAAACCTGAGCTGCGCAAAGGATGCGCTATCTCCCGCCCCTTTTTTTTACGTTGAGGAAATGCGTTACGCCCTGTCCCTTTTACCTGGCAAGCAAGAGGGGATGTGAGAATGCAACCTCTCCTGGTAGGGAAGCCGTGGCCGAATCATCAGCCTTATTCTGTAACTCTGGCAACTTTTGAGGGCAATCGAAATAAATTCTTGACAGAGCTCTGAGGGCAACCCGTCATCGCGTAGTTTTGGTATTCTGTTACTCAGTTTTAATAAATCACGTTTTTTTTTAAATTAAGATGTCGTCTGCTAAAGCTTACGGAATACGAAATAACAGTGTATCGATACAAGATCAAGTGTGAAAATGGAGTTCAGTGGAGATCACCAATATTGATATTTCAAAATTGCGAACCATTGTTAGAAAATACGAATAAATGACACATTGGAGTTGACTTTTCACAGTGATTACGACTTTAGTTTGTCAGTTAAGTAAGCGAAAAGACCTGGTGGTCACGCACTTTCGCAATCTCCAGCTCTAACCCGTTTCTATTGGAGGAAAACAGGCCTTTTTCGAGTATACTTCTCGGGCCTACCCCTCGTGAATACCTTCCGTCTATGGTCGAAGCGCCCCTCGGTCAGAAATAAACGTTTTTCTTTCCTCCACCTACCTAATATTTATGTTTTGATAGTATGTATAAAATCTTTATTTTATAACTAATCCATTGTTCGTAAATGTTTACGATGACGGTGTTGAATAAGTTATTAAATACTTACCTTAAGTTACGTAATATTTTAATATAACTACTCATCCTCATAGGCGAAGTAGATTTGATACGAATGTAAAAGATTTATTTATCTTATAATTGCGTGATATTCATATAATATTATAGATATCAATATTTGGACGCATGTTCTCAGGTAAAATACTACCCTTCGTTTGATTTATCTCACCTTGTTGATTTGTATTCTAGCATATAAAAAGCTTATCTTACCTACGTCCCCACTACTGGGACGAAGCCTTGTGGATAGAATCGTATAGAGGACACATACTTAATTCCCCATCTGAGCCCAGTGCAGATTAGTAAATGCTTACGAATTTATGATTACAGATTCAAGTACCAGTATCTTAACGTCACTTTGTGTAATCTTTGTATAAGTTGCACATCCTCCATGATTGCTGGCTCACTGTTTTTAATACTTAAATAGGGTTTTGCGTCAGAGAGACAAAATTACAATTTAAGTATTAGTCCAAATTCATATTTAAAAAGTAAATATTAATCCTGTAGAACCTCGTACTAGGTTAACCTTTGCTAAGTTTCTATTTATTCATATATTAAAATATATGAATGTTGACTAATACTAAGTGCGGTCTCACCGTTAATTAATTAAGCCTTGTTAATTAATAACACTGCTTAGTAAATGTATTCATTGGGAAATACAAATTCGTTTTTATATTTCAAAGACAATTAGAAAACGTCTTATATCATATTTGTCGATTGATTGGAATCTTATTAAATATACATACGAATAGTATTGAAAATAGCTAAGTTTTTGCCCTTGAAATTTTTTTTTTACTTTTCGTCGTCAATCGAATGTGTTTTACGAATGATTTTTTTTCCTAAAGTTTATTTTTGATAACATAGTTTATTCGTGTTAAACAAATGTAAAAAGGACGAAATCAAAAAGATTCGTGAAGAAAAAGGTTGAAAACCATTGGTTAAAAATATAAAGAACTAAAAAAGACTATTAATTCATTTCCTAGTGCGCGATATGTTCAAATGCCAAATAAAACAAGTGTATTAGTATTTTTTTTAAATAATTGACTTTTTTTTGTGTTTTATAGTATCAAGAACGACGGAAAAATATATCAACGACTGCCCACGTAAAAAATTTTGGGAACCATCTATAATATTTTTAAAATTTATTGTAATTTAGGCTTTCAGCCAACAAAATAAAAGCCACAGTTCCAGTAATAAGCAATAGTATTGATATAGTTAGACCTACTTTTATTCGAACAAGTTTTCCAAGCTTTTTAATTGATTGAATCAATTAAAAAATGCCACAGCAAAAATGAGGGCAGTATGACAATTGTAACTTGTTTATATATGTATCCTAATATTATAAAGAGATAAAATTTCAAATTTTATTTGTTTGTAATATTGACCCGTTTATAAAAATGTTTCCACTTACGGGAAGCTGCATAATTTATGGGAGCGAAATCAGGAAAAGTGATAGTTAAATACCAGAATAAATTGAAAATCGTTGAATCTTTTGTCAGCTATTAGTGTTATTGGACCGTAATAGCACCTTCTATCAGGTGTATTACACTCACTATGTCCTAAAAATAGAAAAAAAAAAACGTTTTAGCGCTGTAACAGCATAGAGTGTAACACCTCAATTATATAAAACTTTTATTTCCTTTTAAATTAATTGTTTTAAAAAAATGTATTAAACCTATAGAGGTTTATAGCTATACTGAGCACTACAGGGTACAGAGTATAGATAGCTATACTGAGCACTACAGGGCGCAAATTGTTTACTTTTATTACTCTATTCGTTAAAGGCTTCACTATTGTCTGTAGTTAGATGTTTGTTTTGTTATTTTAAAATCACTAATCGATGAGACAATCAATAATTTAATTGATTTCTTTAAAATTGGGTTTTCTTAAAAACAGAAATATGTTTATGTAAAAAAAAAATATTATGAAAACAACATACTGCCTTTCATAAACACTGTGATGGACAGACGTAAATAACTACTGTATCTATAGCGTTTTTATCGGAAGTATGCCTCAGTTTGCCTTCAGACATCGGAGAGAGCGCACATATAATAAAAATATCGCGGCTTTGTTTTTACAATTCGCGTAATATTACCGGCGCGTTTTGATGTTGGGATAAACCTGTGTTGTGTTTTTTACTCTCGATTACAAATCGACTTGTGCTGTTTGGGTGTGTAATCTTAACCGAGTGGGTATGTATTATCTACTATAACTGTCAATTTATTAAAATAATTCGTATATTTTCGCGTCTGGGTGATTGTGTGTGATACTCAGGTTGATTCTAATTTCCTAGCAAAGAGTGAACATAATAAGTAAGGAAAATATTTAATGATTAACTTAATTTTAAGTTAATTTTGCAAATTTTCATTGTGCCATATACAAATTGCAATTAATATAACAAAGAGTTACATCAGCATAAACTTTACACATATATTTTTCAACAGACATTGCGCTTTTGGAAAATATTAACATATAGCATTATATAGCAATTAAATGATAATGTTGTTTTAATAATTATTTTTTATTAAATTAATATGAGTATTATAATTGATGCACTCTTTTTGTCAAGAGTGATTTTGGTAAAGGTATTGATTATTTTGTATTATTATCAACCTATTTTTTCTCGCATCGGTCAAGTACGGGTTAGCAGGTCTTACAAAAACTGTGGATACTTCTACTGCTGTATGTTTTGTCTATCCGCAGACAGGCATAGTTTCAAAGGATGAGGATCCATTAGGGGCCGGCCCTGAAAAGTGTCAGAAAGATACTTAAATTTCAGGTTGATCGCACCTACGAAGTTTTTGATTTAAATATTTCAGAACATATGTATTTTAAGCTTTCAATCTATTTTAATACTTGTTTGTTCTTAAAGAGCCCAATTTAAGCATTTTTCGCTAAAATTCATCCTTTTTGGACTAGGACTTTACACACTTTATAATTAAAATCTATAATAAAACACACCGAGACACAAAATATACATAGATGTGATCAATCTGAAGTTTAAGTAATTTTCAGGCCCGAAAAGGTCTTCTGGATCTTCATCTTTTATTATAATCTATTTGTTTATTTATCTATTACGAGCTGTATCCCCGCAACTTCTTACGCGTAAATTAAATCCTAACGTAACCCGCGTATGATGTAGTTTCCTGTAGGAGTAGTGTGATGTATAATGTAGTTTCCTCTACAAGCAAGCGAACAAAGTTAGAAAATTCTTTATAATATTAGGTCTTTACATATGAAATTGGTGTTTGGTATGGGAGAAACAAAAAGTCGAATATTTTTAATATAATATGATTATTTTTATCAAAGTATAAACCATTGTTATCTATGTACTTTTACCATCACATAGGTAGTTCATTGATCCCCTTACTAAAAAAATCATTCGGACGGGAATCAATAAAATATTTGAAGGCGATTTGCCCCATCGGTGTTGAATTTTTTTCCCTTGCAAGAATTTGTCCAAATTTCGAAAACAATGGTATTCTGTTGGAGCAAGATCCGGGGAGTAAGGCCAATTGAAGCTCTTCTAATTTGGTAGCCATCTGTTGTGCAGTGTGTGGTCTAGCGTTGTCGTGAAGTAGCAGTGGCGTAGAGCGATTGACCAGCCTCGGTTGTTTAACAGCTAGTATTTCCAGCATAGTTTGCAATTGCTGACTGAAAAACTGTAATGAACGACACCGGAACTAGTCCAACAAACGTATACAAGTAACTTTTTTGAGGTCAATAATTTTCGCTTGTGGCAGGATTTAGCTGGCATGCCAGGGTCCAACCATTGCGATGAGCGCTTCCGATTATTGTAGAGAGTCCACTTTTCATCATAGGAAATGATTCGATTTAAAAACCCTTCATTATTGTGCCGGTTAAGTAATGTAACGCAGCAGTCGAAGCGTGTTTGCCAGTTTGCTTCACTCAATTCGTGAGGTACCCACTTTTCAAGCTTTTTAACCTTTCCAATTTGCTTACAAGTGGATTAAAACAGCTTTATCACTAACACCGCAGCCTGCAGCTAACTCGGACGAGGTTTGCGATGGATCCGCTTCGACAATAGCCTTCAAATCTTCATTATTATTAACTTGGGTCTCCGGCCGTCCACGTTGCACGTTCTGGAGGTCGATATTTCCAGAACGAAAACGTTGGAACCATAAACGTACTGTGTTTTTTTTTGCGACACAACCACCATATACATCATTGACCCTTCGAGCCATTTCCGCAGCACTGATACCACGGTGAAACTCGTACTCGTAAATAACACGATATTTCAAGGTTTCTATTTTTTATACTGGGTGACGTAAATAGGACAAACAGAAGGAAAAAAAAAATCAAATGCCGCCTAACGAAACACAAATACATGTGTGGCTATATAAATTTGAATTTGGAATTCCCTACCAAGGAGGAGAAATTTGTGATTAAAGTGGCCAGTACCACAAAACGCCAATTTCATATGTAAGGACCTAATATATTGATAGAATGAGTGATGAGGCTGTGTGTAAATGTCACAAATGGTGAACGCGTTTTTTTTTCATATTCATAAATAGTCCATGAGATACCGTTTGTGTAAACAACATTTAATTACAGATAATAAATTGAGAAATTGTAACGTTATTGATAGCGAGTATTCTTGAAATATATTATTAGGTGATTTATTTTTAAACGTGATGTCTTTAATAGTTTTTTTTTAATTAATATTATTATTTTACGGATTTTATTTTACTAATGAAAGTATATCTGATTGAAAAATTACGAAATATAATATGTATATCGTAATTTAAGGGAAAAAACAATCAAAAAACCCGCCTGCGTGAAAAAATACTAACTGAAAAGGGTGGAATATAATAAAAATATTCAACATAATACATAACATATAATCATGGCAGGCATGAAATGGAATTAAGTCAAATCAGTCTCTCTTTGTGCATGTATCCGTCTGCATGTTATGTATGATGTTGCATTTTTTTTATCTTGTTCCAGTCCAGCCTTTTTTAATGTAATTTTCACGTTGAGCCAATAATATAGCTAATAACATCTCAATCAGCAGTCGGAAGACACAGTAAGCGAAATTTACGAAATAAAACGGCCGGTCACAGCTCGTACTGCAATAGTTGCAGGATTATGGTTCGTTTTCTCATTTTGATTGCATCCATAGTGAAGGCATATGCCTCGGCAGTGGAGCAAATTATAAACTGAATGGTTGATGATGTATGTAGGAATAGTTTTGTAATACGTATATAGATTATTGGTTGTGTTCATATTTAATTCAATAACCAAGCATGACAACGATAACTGATCTATAGGTATAGGTTTCTATATGATGACGTCAGATTAATACATTATATGACTCGATTTATTATATCAAGTGGGTGTGCTATCTTTTGCAAATTCATCGACGATATTACACTCAACATATTACAAATATTCTACTTCATTTATTTAATAGGTGTGAAATGTTAATCAAAAATTTTAAAAAAATAACTGTCTAGGACTTTTTTTATTTTACACGACATTTTTTTTATTGTTTATAGGATTATAATATGTATGTTAATATAAAAAAGCCATAGGAAAACAAATGCGTGATTTTATTTACTTTGACGATATGAATATGTTCTCAAGTAATTTGTTATTTGCAAGAATTCTTCCAGTTATATTATTTTAGTTAGGGGGCAGTGGCATGAAAACATAAATTTACAATTCGAGGAGCCTCAACATACGAAAAGCTGTAAAACCGTGATGTATATTGTTTATACAAGTAGATTGGTTCGAATCCCGTCTCAGGCATTTGAGGCGGTTAAATTTGAAGTATTTTTCTATTAAAAATATACGTTATTATTATCAGTATTATCAATTTATGCGACTACAGATCTGTTTGTTAACAATAGCTTCAAAATTGTTTTGTATTGCGACTGTTACCTGAATAAATAAATAAACAATAGTTTTTATTATGTAACTATGTGTCAAGCAATTTTTTCTATAGCTATTCTTCTTGCTTTTCGTTAACTTAAATATTGAATTAATCTAGTTTCGTGCTTTCCCATAATTGATGCGAGTATACTGCAACTGAAGTTATGTCCGCGCCAGATATGTGCTCTCTTCCTTGCAGACTTCACTCACTCATTTGGTCACTTAGTGAGCCTGCCCTTCCAGATATGTATTCGAATATTTTTTTGTTTTTGACACGGGTATAATATATTATATTATTATCGCATATTTGATCCTTTTGATGTGCGGTAAAAATGAAACGGCTAAATGCGCTTGTGTGTTCAATTATGTGACAATAGTATCAAGTAGGGTACTTTTAAACACGTATATAATCATATAAGCGTTCACAAGTGTCTGGTGCGGGAATTAAAGTAGCGACTGTCGTAAGCGTGTTGGTTCAAGGAATCCCTAGCTACGATTTGGCAGCTCACCAAGACAACCCACTTGACAAACGACTTAGTATGAAACATGAGTCGATGCATAGATATTTCAAAGCATGACCCACATTTTTACTCTGAAAAATCGTCTTTGCATTTATCAGATGACAAAAAAAAACAAAAAAATGAAATCATCCACTAACTGTTTCCCCGCGAATTTCGCTTCAATATATACTCGTCAAATTCCCATAGGTGAGAGAATTTTCATGATCATATCAGTATTACCGATATGTGAGCAAACTGTTTTTTTGTTGTCTACGAATTGATAGTGATTTTTATATAACAAGTTTTAATCACTTAGTACACCAAAGATCTTGTATTGACAAATCGAAGGAGCCGAAACGCGACTTGTTATTTAACTTCAAATTGCCAATGCCCATCTTCAAGTTCCATCATTAGATCCTGGATATTATCTCAAATCAAAGTGTTTGTCAAACTAACGAGTCGTAACTCGATGAGGGTTGATTTCCTGAAAGTTCCTTATTACGGTCTTTTACACCCAGCCTTTAAACTTCCAAAATTTCCATTAGTTACCTCAATTGCCTCAAATTAGTTAAAAAGTGTTGATATTATTATCTAAGTACTTCGGGCAGGTCGTTGGCTTTATGTAAATGACAGCTCTAGAATGCTAGAATGCAAGTCGTTTGTTGAACGAGACTAATAGCAGTGACAATGAGGTTTTACTCATTAGTCAGCTCACACTATACGATAAGTAGATCACTCATAATAATGTTTGTATTCAGCCCATATTATCGCATACTAGTTTCTGTTTACACTGGCTTTCTTTCTGTAGTATCCCGTAAAAAAGTAGATCGCGTAGATCTGAAATACGATTATTTCAGATCGAAATCCTTTCCTAAGCATACTGCGAAAATTGTTTAAATATTATTTCGGCCATGACAAGTCTTTTTAATTTTCTATCTTATCTATGCGTTGCTACTGATAACAATCACGTGGTATTGTGGTCATAATCAGCTCCGTGGTCGATTGTTTCGCACGGTGGTAGTGTATCACTGAAGTTGAAACCACTGCCTTCAAACATCAGTTATTGAATTATTTTTTTATGTGTCATACATAACAAAAACAAAAGATGTGGTCTATGACATCTTTCTATTTATTTATTTTTTTGTAAAGGGGTACTCCCAATAGCTTCCGATAAAATTTCACGTTGTTAGGATCTCTAGATTTTAAAACTGAAAATAAATTTATATTTCATTTGCGGATATAAAATTTGCGCCTAATCTTGAAATTGTTAACCGCCATTGCTAAGATTCATTTAATAGCTGTAAATGTTTTTATTCTCATATTAATGCGTATCAAAGTGCCAAAGGCGGCTGATACAATCCACCCCTATTGTAAATAACGCTGATGTATTTTTTTTTTGCATTGTCATGATTATTTTTGTGCGTAGGTAATCTTCAAATAGAACGTCTCTTAGATGTAGGTCTCTGTTGATTGATGTTGACACGTGGATGAACGAACCGAAATACCATTCATTTCAACATACATAGGAAACCTGCTATGATATTCAATGAAATAAAACCTTTATTAACCTATGCCGTAGTTTTATTTGATTAAATCTCTGTGATATGATAGCGCTGCGCTCGATGTCATTCATTTCAACATACATAGGAAATCTGCTATGATATTCAAAGAGCTTCAATGAAATAAAACCTTAATTAACCTTTGAAGTAGGTTTTATTTGATTGAATTTTCTCTATGATACTCGTATAATAGTGCTGCGCTCGAGCTCGAACAAATTATTAGGCCGACGAACCAAACTTATATGAACCTGGGTTTATTCTTCTATATTTTGGTTTCGATTAAATATTACTATTTTATTTATTTTTATTTATTAATTATCTTGACACAATAACATACATAATTAAAATAGTCCCACAAATCCTTGTGACAAGTTTGACTGTGGGGACAGTGAGTCTCTTTAATTGCCGATGTATTTGTTTGCTGAAAAAAAAACATTAAATTTAACAATGATATTTTTTAATACACTCACAGGATGTTTGTGTTACATATACAATCATCATGTTGGTAATATACTATTATAATATTTTTTAATTTACATATTTTCTTGTTGGATTTATTTCTAATTTCTACTGGTAGGCCGTTTAGTAAATACGGTAAGCGTTTTTCTAGTGTTCAGTCGCTGTAATAATTATAAACTCTAACTTTATATTTACCATGGATCTTGTATTTTGATTATTAACTATATAGCTCAGATTGTGCTCTATACTGGCGTGATTATTTAATGCCAAGAGAAATTTATGCTGCAAAGATATTGGAAGAATATTACATATTTTTTAAATAATTTATTGTATTGTTTTGTTTTTTTATTAACTAACTGGCTTTCACCCGCGTGGTCCCTAGAAAAATGTTTAGTGGGATAAAAAGTATTCTGTTATCTAAGTCAGCTAATACCCTATCTGTATACCAAGTTTCATCAAAATCCATTCATGAGTTTCGCCGTGATTGACCGACAAACATCTAAACAAAGAAACTTTCACATTTATAATATTTATAGGATTAAGAAACCTTATTTGTAATGTTTCTAGTTTATTTGAATAGGACTTAAAGGTTAGACCATATTAATCGAGTGCATAACAAAGAACAGGATGTACCAAAGACATATAAATATATCTTTATGTAACAATTGTTACACTGAAGTTTAGATGATAAATTTTATTTATCAATATCCTTAGTTTATAGCAGATATGGTCTGTTGCCCATGAAGTGTTCATCAATCGTTGTATAGGCTTTACAATTAGTCCTATTTTTATGGATGCATGAAAAATCAAGAGACAATAGATGTGGTCCTGAAGCGGATCAGCGAAGTGAAATTTATCGGTATTTAGTACTGTATCGTTAAGTAGCTATTTTTCTACCCAACATACCGCACTAAGGTTTCGTGGTCAATCGGAATTGGTTTTTCCCCCATTTGATTCCATTTATAGGGAAGGCACTGCAATAGTGCTGTTTTTTTCCCGATTTCCATAATACAAGGCAATTTACACCGCTTTGAAACGGAGTCTATCGCTTTTAAAATTGATATTAATTTGTTGTTTGAGGTCCGTAGTAATATAATAAATATTGGAAAACATCACATATATTACTCAGATTACAAGATAATTAGCTAAAGCCTCCGTATTATGGAGTACCTGAAACAACGAAGGTACTAAAGGACCAGGAATCGAACACGGCACCTGAGATGACGTCAGCTTGGAGTTCGTCACAGTTAATGGATGTAGAGAGCTATTTTAATTTTTGCTATGTCATAATAATGTCCTTATATATTCTGTCTGTCACACAAATCTAAGGTCTACACTTCTATTTTCCTCTATACAACTACTTTGAGGATAATAATTTATGAGACTATGTCGGTACATTCCCTGAGCAAACGTTGTCACATTGAATATTGAATATACCTGTAGCGTGCGATACTCTTGTATAATTTGTTACATACTTTACATACATACGTTACTTTATTTAATAATCACAATATTATGGTTATATTTGAAACAATACCATTTTAACATAATCGTCACTTTTATTAAATGTACTTTAAATTATGCATTTTATTTGCACATAGTGATTTTAAGGGTTAATACATCTGGCAATATAATCTCGCCTTTTTCTGATGTCCTATCCTTTTCAGTCACTCAGAATCTCCTTTTGATAGAGCGAGAAAATTATCGCAAACCCGTTATCTTTGTGTAGCTGTAGCAAATGGCAATTCATTGTTTTCCATATTAAATGCGGAAAACAATGTAACCCTAAAATCAAGTTTGAAATAACCCTAATAATGTACTAGTCTCTTTGTAACTAAACAAAATGATTTTATAACTGATTACATTACATGACTGTCTAATTGTGACTGATTTCAAATTGATGATATCAAATTTTAATATCCAATGATTTACATATATTTTTTGTACATTAAAAAAAATTATTAACATTGTCTGTATCATTTAAAAAATATATTTTTTTTATTCGTATTAATTCGCTCATACATATGTCATAATGAATCAGCATTTAAGGAGGCACATATATAATTAATTTCTGTTATATTTAGTACTAGTTTCTAGGGAATTGCTTAGTGGAATAAAGTAGCTTAGATGTTATTTGAGGCTTAGAATTATCTAAATACCAAATGTTATCAAAACCTCTCAGTAACAAACATTTATACATCCTAAAAAACTTGCGCGTTTGTAATATCAGTATGATAGGATTATTTGCAATATTGGTGTCTGTGATGTGTTCTTAATAAATAATAAACTGAATTATTTTCTATCCTTTGTTTCAGATAAAAGTCACGACCTGAAAAAATCTTGGAAAAAATCAGTCCGTAAGACTCAAAACTGCATGTGATATTATTTAAATTATTTATTTGTTAGTTGTAAGAGGACACATTTAGTAATCAGACAATACTCAGTCAATTAGCACAGACTAAATAGAGGATCAGATTATAAATAAGGAGGTGCTAATAAGAAGGTGCGGAGTAATCACAATGAAGGACACAATGAACTGTCAACACACGTTGTCCAACGAAGTGGTGTACAAGGAAGTGGTTGTTATTGGTAAGTGTATTGTTTTCTTTGTATACATAAACGCTGATCCATATTGAATGTGATATTCCAATGCTTGCACGTAAAAGCTGCATTAATTTCGATTATAATCAAAGGTAGTGGTACACCTTTGATTATAATCTAAATTAATGCGTCTTTTTCCTAATGCAGGAGATTCGGATAATGCACATATGGTATATTCAAATAATTATAGAATAGTAAAAGTTAAGTTACATAGCTAAAATTCAAATTATACGTTATACTGTGCTTTATACTTTATACGTTATATTCGGCTAAATACGTTATACTGTGTCACCTATAAAGAAGAGATTCCAAAATAAATTATTGTTATATTATAAGTACGGGTCTTCTATACCTCATCTTCTTCTTTTCCCGTGTCCGCAAATTGACATCAAAAATGCGTGTATTTTGCGTATTTTCCATACCTCTGTCGTGGCTAGTTCAAACGAATAAAGAAACCCTGAATAGCATGAAATATAGCATATCTCCATTCTAATGCGAATGAACTTGTGCCGTACTCACTCCTATTTCGATAATTATAAATGCGTCCAATAGTTTTGAAGGTAGCTATACTCTTAATTAAAAATACAATCAACACCTTAAACTTATCTGAACACGGAACCTGAAACGGTCTGAAACGTCATTAAAAGAAAAATACAAACGCGACGAAACCGTTTAAAAGTTGTTTCACTTATGGATAGTGCTTGTGAAAATATAAGAAATCGTAATGTAAAGTGCGTATTAACGTCCCTAATCGCCCCGGGCAATTGAATGGTCCGTGTAATCGGACGCCAGCACGATTAAAGTAATTTATCACGCGTGGTGGCTGTCGCTAAGTGGAGATCCCGACGGAAAATACCCTCAATCAACGTGTCGCTGTCAAACGCTGTCAAACGCTGGACGCGTCGCACGTATAAAGTAATTGGTCTGGCATGGTAGATGTTGCAACTCAATTCTTTAAATAAAACTTCTTGTCGGAGACCTTGTTGTAACTGATTAAGCTGTTTACTGTTAGCATTTACATTTGCTTTGTTCTGAAATGAAATTGTAGACTTTATTTCCAAAACAGTTTTTCTAAACAGTTGTACTATTTACATGATAATATTTATTGTTAAAAAGCTAGAAATTGAGCATACAATATCGAAATTATACTTAAAAAATTGTTGATGGCTGTAGACATTATAACTAAACGTGGTAGGTAGACTGGCATTTCCACAGACGTTACGCGAATTTCCTGAAATTTTAACAGAACAGACTGACACTTTAATACATTGGTTTTAATTGAGCTTTGGCACAATCGAAAAATGACACATTTAGTAATCAGAAAATACTCAGTCTCAGCAGATATATAACTAAAAGTGAACTATAATTATGTTGAGTCCGGAAAAGAGTCAATCCATTGTATTTTAAGTCTCGCTAAAACTCCAGAAATTGTTTAGTTGAATCTGTATGCAGAGAGCCGGAGTCCGTCCATAACATTAGTGAATACTATTTTCTAAATTATGGTACCATGTTTTTTCAGGGAACGGCCCTAGTGGTATGGTGACGTCATATATGCTGGCAGGGAACGTACCATATCTTAAAGAGGTGCCACAGGACTTGCCTATCGATGACATGCTTAAAGCAAGGTTCTTAGCTATTTGTTTATACATATAATTAGTGTTTGTATTGATAATAGTGTATTTAAAGAGTAATGTTATCAGCATAATCCATTTTTTTTTCATCTTTAGTTTCCATAGGTTTTAAATTTTCTGCATATTTTTCCTTTTCTTTAAGAACTCTAATCCAATATTACAGGTGTCCAGATCGCAACAGACATTCCAAAGTTTAATAATTATTAAAAAATATACATTGTGTTATGGTTGGAAACAACGTAAGTACCACTAAAATAATGAACCCACGACAGTATAAATAACATTTTCTGTGTCGAATCGGTCGGTAACTGGACTTCAGACAGTGACACCCTGGAACCAAAAAAAAAAAAGAAAAGAAATAAAATCCAAATATTTACAACACTTTTCTAAAATAGAGGTCTGAAGAAGCGGGCATAATTTCTAGATCTCTCATAAACATTAATAGAGCATTTTAATATGTAATGAGAACAACATAATCGAATGGTTTTTAATATTTGAAGTAATTTAGTTGTTATTTGTTTTTAAAATATAATGGTAAGTGATCTTAATGAAAAATATTTTAAAAATCACTTGGTCCCTAATAATATTTTTCAGTATAGCACTGTGAGTTCGGAATTGAACAAATATATAGAATAGTAAGGTTAGACTGTGGTCGCTTTCTGACTTTGTCACTCACGTCAGAAACTTACGGCTTACTAAACTTTAACGTCACTGTCCAGTGTGCGTCTATCCATGTCTAATCGAGATTTTAAACGTTTGTAAAATCTGTTTATTTAAACTTGACAGAATGTGTTGACGCGATTAGAAAAGTATAATTACCAGATGTTTTCTTGCGACTTCTCTCGCGTAATTGATATAGCTTCCCATGGGCAGAAAAGTTTTCATGGTCGGAGCAGTATTTATGAAGATTACCCCTTACAAACAAACAAAGTTAGAAAGTTTACCAGTTTATAATAGTATAGATATTTCCAAATGACTTCTTGATAGAACTGACTGCAAGTCAGCCAAACCGCTTAATTGACATCTATATGGTATTAATTTATTAAAAATGCCTTGTTTACAGATTGTCAAATTTACCAAAAGAACAGAGCTTATATGAAACAGATCTACTGGAGCTGGCGGAGGGATTAGAGGGGCGAAGTCACAACCCTATACCACTATTGGTAAGCATCTTACTTGATGACGCGTATTGAATGACAAGACGAGTTTTATACAGTATTACTGGCCATCTATCACGTTGACTGTTTCAACACATTAACTTCAAAATTAGAATTGAACCTGATAGAAAAAAAAATCTATTTGTGCTCGATATGGATTCGGTCGTGCTTGAGTTGATATGTGAATGGATCCCAGTAATATTATGTGGCTTATATATATATTGTTGTTGCTATTTTTGCAATATATATGCTGTTAGTTATTTAGAGAATGGAAATCTCAGATTGACATGAATAAAACCAAATCTAGTTTGTGTCCATAAAACTGTCACCATTATTAACAATATTTTTTTTGCATTCTGCTCAACAACACTCGCCACGTTCATCATAACGTTTTGAAGCTCGTTGAAGGCAATTATGTAAATTGATTACTTTATACAATTATCGATTTTATTGTCTAAGGGTATCATTATCAACCATACGTAAGTCCAGGTTTTTAGTGAAAATACCTCTTTGACGTCCTTTAGCGGGTAGAGTTATAGGTATAATACCCCTGCCACCACTGTCAGGCAGTAGCGATCGTATGCAACACCTTTGCCTTGGATAAAAAAACATCAATTTATACTGGCCCCGCCGATTTCTTGCCAGCTCGTCTGTAAAAGGGGCACGGGATAGATTTACTGGGTATTCCAACCGCGTTCTTGCTCAGCTTCAGGCTGATCTATGCGGTTGGAGAGTCAGACAGCCACGTCCCCGGCCGGTCGATTAACACGCACTCCTCGGCGTAACATTAGCACATGTAGGAAACACAGAAACTTTTTTGAACCATTTGTCTTCTGGAAATGAATGATTCCCTTCCTTCTTACATCCGAATAAGCAGCAATGGTATTGTTAGATAAAATTACACTTTCTAATTATAAATTCAACACCCTCACAACTCTATGAATGACGTTTGTTGTTTATAAAAAACTTTATTAAACGTGCTAGCGCTGCAAGCTGGCGACAGAATGCCTAAACAGGCCTAGGGCGTTCGTGTTTACGGGGCGGCATGGCATGGCAAGCAGATTATTTTGTTTGCACTAATTATTTGAACCAAAAAAATGCAGTTGCTTAAAAAAATAGTTTATTGAACGTCAATCCATGTCCGGTGTATTCATATGTACAAATTTTTGATCCAGTAGTACCTAAGGAGTTTCTTTTCTCCTTTGCAAAATTACACTCTAATTGGTAGACCTACTTTAGTCTTTTATTGATGTTTCAGATCCTTTACAGGTTCCGTGTTCACATAAGTCTTAGGTGTTGATTGTCTTTTTATTGAAGAGTGTATAGTTTCCTTCAAACAAAGCTATTATTCACAATACTTATATAAACACGGAACCTAGAAAGTGTTCGAAACGTCAATAAAAACGCAATGAAACCGTTTAAAAGTTGTTTCATATAACAATATAACTGTTCCAAAATAATATTTTATTTCTGAATTAATATTAAATTATGATATACTTATACTTCGATGCGCTTGTGATATTCTAAAGACCAATTATTATTAATGCCGTCATTAATTTATTTTTGTAAAACCAGTTGTGCTGATTTGATGACGTCAGAAAACAAGTTAGTCTCAAAATCGGATCAGTCTTAAAAGAGGAAATGGATTTTATTTCATATTAGCTGAACCGGCAAAGTTTTTACCGCCTCAGAATTATTAAATAAGGTATCAAAGTTCAATAAAAATTGTTTTTGAACGCACTTTGTAGTCTGTAGGTGCGAATAGTTTGTATGAGTACATACAATGTCGCTTTAATATTTTCCTTGCAATTTCTTCATCTTTTAACTCTCCTTGGATACATATTTTTCTGAAATTAGGAAGAACAAACTCACTTGTCTTGTTGATGATTTAATTTACAACAAACCTTTTTATAATATTACTTAACATTTACAGAGCTCTTCGCCATTATCCAAAGTTTTATCGCATATCCAAGAATTTTGTATCTAGTGTAAAAAAATATAGTAAAGACTCAAAATCACTGCATTTTTTACTGTAGCGGAGAAAAAGATTAGATGGAAATCAATGTTTTTTTTTCTTTATAACACCGATGCCGTAGTGGTTTGAGCTTGCAAATCGAAATGCAATTTTGTTTAAGATCGTATAACCCGCTTACGATCTAGAGGATGTTTTGTTTGCGACATAGAACAGAAAACCATACTACATATTCCTTTTATGGTGCATATTCAATAGATAGTTGGAAAAGAAGAAAATTCCAAACTATAGAATGGAAACGGCATAACCAGATTATATAGTAACCTAACAAATTGATAGACTTGTTTAATATAGTACTTTATATTCATTTTAATGCTCACTCACTAATGTTATTAATGTACCACTGCGACTATTTAAAAATCACTAAACCCAGGGCTGTGCGTTAATATGTCGGTATCAGACAGTAAATTATGTCGGCACAATATAGATTTCTTATAAAAAATATTTAACTTCCGATCTGATTCTGTTGAATCTCTATCTACTGAAACCATTTTCCAGTCTAGCCATTGTTGTACAGCGACCAATATGTCTTTTTTCTTATTCGGCCTTCGCTAAACTGGTTTAAAGAGGTCGTTGTATTCACTGAATGGAAGTTGAACAAAAAATATTCTGAACCTTTTTGCTTTTAGTACAGACATTGTGTAAAGTGGAGCTTTAAACATTTAATAACTTTGATAAACGAATCTCAGTGTAAGCCAAGTTATTTGAAACATTAATAATACTGGAAAATCCTGCATTGATCCAAAAACCAAGATGAGATGACATATAATCAGCCTAGAAGTGAATCATGGATTTTACGAGGCAACCAGACTGAAAGAGTTAATGTAATTATGACGAATCATAATAGATATCTCATGTACAATACAGATGTGTAGTCCTAAAACTTGAAATAATAATATTTCATATTTTTATATTTAATTGTTATATGTGAGAAAAAATGTCTGATCAACTAACTGAAAACTTGGTCAAAATTTTCTACAAAATTGACCTAAATATTTAATTCCAGTGAAAACGCTTGGTAAAGGGTAAGATTTTTTATGGTCGTACAATATAGATAAATAATAGTATCCGGATTTTTTAAATATTTAACAAAACTAAAAACGTTTTGTTTTGGTCGGCAATTCAACTAATAAGTAATTGTTAGATTGATCTGATCTAAGATGTCCAGGAGAAACTAATTCGTAGTGAATGAAGACGCGATTTCACGTTCAATGGGTACAATCGTTTTATTCATTGTAACATAATTTCTTACCAAGGAAGTGATATGTAACAAAACGCATAATTCACGCGTAGTTCTGAAGGCCGACTCCATTTCTCCGAAAAAAAATCTTCTATTTTTCAATTTCCAATATTACTTTTTCGATAATTTATGATGTAATCGTGGTAAGACACTGCCTCTGTAATAGCAAAATTTTTTAACACAATAGACACTCTGAAATTTCCTAAGTGGACAACCACGTCCCCTTTGGACAAAATCTTGATCGAAACACTTGCGAAAACTTTAAAAATAGCTAGAGATCATTGTTTTATGTATAAATATACCTGTACAAGGAAAAAAAAATCTCCAACGTGATTTTTATTGTTTATATAAATAATGCAAAAACTTAATGAAACTCCATCCATTTTAATTTGACGGCACATCAATCAACCGCACTTATTATCAAGTCATAGTAGCCATTTAAATATAATGACTTGTATAATAAACTCATCATTATTCATTTTGTCGTTGACTGTACACTGCGATTCATGTAATTTATCGGTCCGTAAGTTTTCAAGGTTAAATTTAAATATTTCTTTGCTCTGATTATTGAATTGGAAATAATTGTATCCGGACTTTAGATTAGATAATTAATTTGCTATAAGCGAATTCTCTTGCGGTCAATGTAACTAATGACAGTGTTTGATAATTGTATCTATGCCGATATTAAGTGCGAGGTACAGACAAAACTGTCAAATTTCTCCAGTTGAATTAAAACCTTACTGCTTTGTGGGTATTACTCAAAGCCATTTCAGGAAATTTCACATAAACCATATTGTAGTAGCCTGGCACATTTAAACACAAGTTGTTTGGCTTATCGATCGACCTATTCCTGGTCATTAGGATGATTCATTAATGCACCTATCACTCCTAGTACTTCTATTAGGTATTGTGAAAAGATTTCTTTTTTGTTTCTAGATGGATAACTTGCTAAGACCTTGTGCTGATATGGGCATTCAAGCGGACTCGCTCATAGAATGGAAATATGATATCGAGAAACAGGTCAGAATCAAATTTGTGTAAAAATATAAATTAAAAAAATATACATTTGATTCATTTTTGAAACGGGACAGTAATGGTTAGGCATCTTAACCATTACTTAAATGACTATCTATTACTCGTAAAGATATTCTTTTAAATTTACAAAAAAATAGCTTTTTAGCATTTTTTGCTTACTGTCCCGCTACAAAAATCTACTTGTATATGTATAACTAAACCACGTGGTCTTCTTAGTAACCTCGTTAATATGGTCATCAATTTAATTTCGATATTTAATATTTTTAATTGACCACATCGTTTAAATACCAATACACCCGAAAGAAATATTTTTAACAAGTATTTAAACTTTCGATAAAGATGACACATTTGTTCTAATTATTATAGCTAAGATGGGAGACGAACCATAACACATAATAGTGACCTTTATATATGAATTGATATAGGATGGTGTTGATGATGTATGTGTGGTGTAGATAGATCACGTGGTGTTGGGTCGCGGGCCTGCGGGAGGGGCGTGGCACACGTTGCCGGGCAGTGTGCGCACGCTGTCGCCCGCCGCGTGGCTGTCGCTGCCGCCGCACGGGGCTGCGGCGGGCGCGGCCGGCGGCGCGCGTCTCTGTGCCGCCGCCGTCGCTGCTTACTGTCGCCGGTACGTGCGCGTCTGCAATATCAACGTGAGTACCACACTCGCAACACATGTATACACACATTTAAATTTGAAAAACGTCACATACATTTAGGTAAGTCGCTGAAGCTGTCTTGTTATGAAGTATCTCAGACAAAGAAGGTATATAACTCAGATAGAAAAGTTCGTTTTTAAATTTCTTCTTCTGCGATATTCCTTTTATAGATTCGGTTCGATTTCATCCATAGGGAAAGCCTGTGTGTGCTTCAGCAGTGGGGACATTAATACGCTGTGTATTTGAAAATGGATTTGTTCCGCGATATCCCGTAACAAACGAGAATGAAAAATGACGCAGGATCTTAGTATGCCTAAATTTCAGTATCGCGGAATTATATTTGCAGCCATATCATGCTGTCTTCATAATACCACATACGATCGGCATTATTGCGATTCGGAAGTTAAGCAACTTTTCGGGCCGCGACCAAAACTTTATTATCTCGAAGGCACGTTAAGCATCTGCGAGTCAGCGTGGTGGGTCAGTGTCCATTCTGCCTATTAGGGACGGTCAGTGGCGTAACTGTACTGTTTGAGGCCCGTGGCAAATTTATCGGATATTCTATTTTTTTTTTACTAATTATGTAATAATAAATATCAGGAGTAAGGAGTCTCCTCTGACCGTCTCCAACGGGGCCCGTGCCATTTTGCCGAGTTGCCACCCTGTAGTTACGCCACTGGGGTGACCGTGCTCTCCAACGGGGCCCGTGGCATTTTGCCGAGTTGCCACCCTGTAGTTACGCCACTGGGGTGACCGTCTCTCCAACGGGGCCCGTGGCATTTAGCCGAGTTGCCACCCTGTAGTTACGCCACTGGGGTGACCGTGCTCTCCAACGGGGCCCGTGGCATTTTGCCGAGTTGCCACCCTGTAGTTACGCCACTGGGGTGACCGTCTCTCCAACGGGGCCCGTGGCATTTTGCCGAGTTGCCACCCTGTAGTTACGCCACTGGGGTGACCGTCTCTCCAACGGGGCCCGTGGCATTTAGCCGAGTTGCCACCCTGTAGTTACGCCACTGGGGTGACCGTCTCTCCAACGGGGCCCTTGGCATTTTGCCGAGTTGCCACTTTATAGTTACGCCACTAGGGAGGGTATTAAAATGATGATGATAACGCTTGATATAATGTGTGTAACGTATGCAGCGTTACTTCCGCACCGGGGTGGTGGTGAGCAGCGTGCGTCGCGCGCCGCGCCACCCGGCCGCGTGCTCGTCGCGCTGCCCGCTCGCCGCACACTACTGGGTGTCCGGGTAAATATTACTTTACATTACCTAGTAGAGGCCATTAGAAGCCCGACTCGATAAGTCCTCCCCTCCCGGACGATTGTCTACGGGGCCTTCAACCAGAATTTACGATTTGATTAAAGGAGTTTTGTTGGTACTTTATTCCGAAAAATCTAATCACTATAAAGAAAATTATAATAGCACCTAAACCCAATCTTATATCTTTCATCAAAGTTTGAGGCTTGAAAGTTCTCCCGATTTAGAGAATGAAGTTAAAAAAATTGGTGTGGTTTGCCTAGAAATACTATTATGCACAGCCATGACACTCACTTTAAAAAATAAATTAAAACAAAGGCAAAGGGATCTTTGTACACAGCTCAACCTTCGGTAGGGTCCTTTGAGGTAATTACGAATGCTGGGAAATTCTGATAATGAAATTAAACTAAAAACAGTGTTTGTTGTAATAAAAAGATTTTCAATCTAGTAAGAGAATGTTTAATAGTCAACTTTACCTACACAAAATGTCTGATTTATTTTTAATATTTTGTTGACTATATATTTATTATAACAAGCCACGCACTGAATATACTCAAACCGGGCCTAATCTGCGTCGATGAGGTTAGATTCGTTTAAAATATCTGTATATTTGACATTGAAAGGCCTAAAATATCAATAATTAATAGCAAATAAAAATAATGATTCCGCATTGTCCAAATAGACTAATTTACAGCATGAATTGGAACGTAACTTAGGGATGGGATGGGTTGGGGTGAATTCCATTTCGACAATTGATTTTGTATCGTCATGCCTCTCTAAAACTAATATCGTTCTATGTATGCTTAAAGGCTGATTACAGATAAAAAATATGTATGCACAAGGTTTAATTCTCAAAAGTCTGATATGAGTAGAACGGCGTGACATCACGCACTGTTTTACGGTCACGTGACAAGTAGTATAAAATATATATTTTTTATAATTAATATAAGCAATATTATAAATATAATAAGCATAAAAGTGTGATTATCAGTAATAGTATATTAAACACTACCAGGAAAAAGTGATATGTATTTATTTTCGTTTACTGTCTACACCCATATTCTTTTTATCTTTTATCGATTATTAGTTTGATGGTAATTATATATCGATATTACCAATATTATACCTCAACAAATGTGTTGTACTCTTCGAGGATTTTGGGACAATTGACTTTTTTTTGTTTAGGTACGACATGTGTGAAGGCCGCGGGTTTCGTTACGCGTGCAAGCGTGTGATATTGGCGTGTGGCGCGAGCGATAGACCTAACACTCTGCATCCACATCTCGCCGCCCGCTGCGTGCACACACTCGCCAATTACGAGCGAGCGCTCGCGCACGGTATGTACTCAGCATTATCACTAGCATGTTAATGCCCCCCATGAATGGGATCGAGTAGAATAGTGAGAACGCTGTGACCCACCACGCGAACCTAGTGCGGATTGGTGGGCGTTGACGACTCGTAGCCTCGACCAACGGCTTAACGTAGCTTCCGAAGCACGGAGGAGTGAGAGACAATTATCCTTTGGTCACCCATCCTATGACCGGCCCTGCGAAATTTGCTTAACTTCCACAACACAACGAATTCGTTAACTCCTGGACTAATGACCTCTTCACACAAACGCCGGAGAAATGCATTAAGAAAAAAAAATATTTGTAAAGATTCCCAGGTAAGCAAGACACTCAGACCCGTACTGCCATAGTTATGTCTATGGCAGTACTGACTTTTAATTTGCTTTGAATATGGTTAGTTCTTAGTATAATATGGAAGGGTCATTAATAGAAATGAAAAAAGAAAGGGATCTAATATTGATCCCTGGGGCACTCCCATAACAATATAGGATCTAGAAAGTTAGCTTATTTGATAGTGGCTCAGTGGAGACACCATAATGCTCGTTTTTTAATGATCATTGACTCAATCAAAAGCTTTGGACAGATCACATGATATGTAGTTCTCTATTTTTAATTTTAGACTTATAATAAATTTTAAATCAGTAAATCTATTTGTCACTATCTTAAGATCCAGATCAAGTCACATCTCATTGAATTAAAAAAAAAAGTTCGTCATTTTTAAAATTTAGCGCAAATATTTTCTGTACAACACTTGTGTAGCTCGATGTGCATAAGCGCCGCGGCCCTCGATCGTTGTTGGTAAGCAACTTTCTTAAGGGTCGGTCACGAGATGGGCGACTGAAAAATTACTATCATGATCTACTTCGTGCTTCAGAGAATACATTAATCCGTTGGTCCCGGCTGTATTTACAGTCGTTAATACCCTCGAATCCACATTAGGCCAATGTGGGGGATTAACCATCTATAAGGAAAACCTGAGCCCCTGCAGTGGGGACGTAATAAGGCTGATGATAACTTGCCCATAAAAGACAAATAGGGTAAAATTTCGCCATAACATGTTATCGTTTCCCTATAGGCGGTGATAATGGCGCTGTGATGGTGGTGGGGTCAGGTTTGAGCGCGGCGGACGCAGTGTTGTGCGGAGTACGAACAAACAGACAGATCATGCATCTACACCGCACCCCCCCTGACGCACTCGCCCGACTCTCGCCCAGGGAATACCCCGACTACACGCAGGTTCTTTTTTTTCATTTATCTAGGTCTGCCAACAGTCGCTACATTGATACTAAGAAAAAAATAAATATATTAATTAAATAACGCTAATATACAATCTAATTATAGGCAAATACTACATGCAATGTGGAATACAATCAACTATGTAACTTGTACAATAATACGATAACATAAATAAAAACTCATAATTATTGCACTACATCAAAATTCACTTATTATTTATATACCTCTAGAAACATATGTCTGAACTTTAGTGTTTGCTTCACTATATTTATTTAAAAGTCTACTATGACAAGACAGGTAAATGTACTCCAAGAACGGTTCTACGAATGGGTGGGACAAGGGTTTTAACTACGTATCGTGGACACCTACTGGGCACTTTAAATTTAAATTCTATTAAGAGCTGTGGACAATCATTTTTACTCCTAAATATTAAGAAGTACTGGTTCTATTTGAAGAATAGTTACGTGTCAAATAATCAATTTATTGAAAAAGGCTTATACGCTATATATTATAGCAATGAAAAACGTAGCAAATATACGCGGGCGAAAAGCTAGTTATTATAATTATATATTTTTTAATCCAGATGGAGTATGTATTTTAATTGTTATACAATATAATTATGATAAGGTTACTGACAATTTTAAAATAAATATGTACCAGTATATATCCATATAAAAAAAACAAAATAAGGTGAGGCTTATATTGTATTTATTTTGGTTTTTACTTCTGTGCCAAAACATTCATGCAATAATGTATGACTTATTTTAACAGCAATATAGCGATCATTCGATAAATAAAAACTTTTTTTTTACTCTGAAGACCTTAAAGAGTTCATTCGATATCTTTATAATTGGGTATTTGACAACATTAAAAATATATTAAAAATTGTGGTCACCCTTTAAGATAATAGAGTAATAACACATATTTCACTTTATTTTTAAGGAACTAACTTTTGCAGACTACAAAATATTTTTTTTTTTTACATTTTATCTGAAACGGAAACTTCTTGTAAGTGGTTACAACACCGATAACGTCACACGCTTGTGAATATGGCTTCCAGTTGACAATTTTAGTTTGATGAGGTTTGTTCTTCTTCTTTTTTTTAATTATTGGCGTTGTCCTTGTGGATTTCGACAGAATCCAGTGTTTATTTACTTGCGTGTGACGTCATAGGCGGCGTTATGGAAGCGGTAAACAGGGTTTTTCGCGCGGTTTCGGAAATTTAAAATTTAACTTTTAATTTTTTATTGATGAATACAGTAAATTTTCCCGAAATGTTAATTTATTTTGCTTGTTATGTAATAAAGAATAATTTAAAACTATTTTTCTAAATAGGCAAACACACTTTTGTAAATATGAGACGTAATCTCAAGAGTTTTGACAATGACACTGACAGCTGATTGGTATTTTGTCATTAAAAAATTTAAGTCATGTAACGCTACTATAAAAAAGGGATTTTATTTTGCAAAACAATGTAAACATTGAACCTAATTATTCGAGAGAAAATAAATATCTTTAAATAATCACTGTTAATAACCCTATTATCTTGTAACGTTATTAATTCTTAATCCCAGTCATGTCATAAAATATATTTTAATTAAATTTTATTTTCCTATATTCTAAGTAAAATAATTTGTTCCCAGGTCTATAAAATGATGTGCGACGGTACTTCAAAAGAATATCCGAATTATAAATCGTATCCGGAGCACATCATAGTGGATATCAAGCCTGAAACAGATCCACCGGTGATGCCCGAAGACCCAGAGGTGGACTATGAAACAATAAGGCCCAAGAGGGTCAAACTACTCAATTTGGTCACAAACGAAACAGCAGATGTCACAGTATCAATAATAGCAGTACTCATTGGTTCTAAACCTGACCTATTTTTCCTACAAACGAATTTCAACCTTAACTGCATAGACGTAGAACAGAGTTGCATCAAGTGTACAGAAAAGAAGAACGCCAAGAAGAATATTGAAGACGAAAGACGACAGTGTTTCCTCAGAAACCATTGGCTGTATATAAAATCGGTCTTAGGTCAGAGTATTCAGAGTTGCAAATCGAGATATCTAAATTATTCAGAAATAAACGGTAATAGCGACACTAAATGCGTCATACCAGATTGTAATAAGAGGCCTGAAAAAACGAAATGCACTTGTGACGAGATAAAGACTGAAGAATGCAACTACGAAATCATTCCCAGCGATAAAGACAAGTGCCAGTGCCACCTGAGTAACCCTTATTCCAATGGGATAGGGTTTGGTATAGATACTAAGAAGCCAGTGGACGGTAGATCTAATCCGATTGCTATAGATAAAAGCACTCACGAATTACTCAATGCTCCTAAAGGAATATATGCACTAGGACCATTGACCGGAGATAATTTTGTCAGATTCATCCCAGGTGGAGCTCTCGCTATTGTAACACATATTCATAGAGAAAGAAAATCAACAGAATGATCTCCTATAACTGCCCCAGTGTAAATCGTGAAATTGAAATACTTAATATTGCTTTTACAATAAATTATTTTTACACCTAATCCATTCATTGTTTTCCTTCAAATTTTTTTTTTTACAAATTATCTTATTTAAAATTCATTCTGGATACTTCTTTTATATACAATAAAACATTCAGTTGACACATTGATATATGTTTTATTATTATAAACATTGTATAAACCTTACATTTAGTGTAAGCAATAATAAAAATTCAATATAATATAAAAAGGTAAAATATATTGTGCATAAGTTGAGATATAAGCAGGTAACTAAGAACTTATATATATTTTTAAAATAAATTCTTTAAACACACAAAACATAACAAATGCAATATTTCATAGTTAGATTTTATAATTTAATTTCTATAAAAAAAAACGACTTATTGTCATCAAAAATATACTTAATGATCCTATTTTCTTATAAACGACAATTTAAACCTACGTAATTATAAGTATATAACATGTTGACTAGGGCTGCCACCACTTTAGCTAAAAGAGTATTTACATTAAGAATAAAAGGCTAGAATAAAAGCAAATGGTTAAAAAGAAATGTTAATTTGCAGTAAGTTTGCAATAAGCTTGTCTTACAAGTAAAAATACAAGTTTTTGTTATATGCTCAGAACACATAACTTTTTGAACTTATAAACATTTTACAAAAAAAAATATGGCACTAATTTGGAAATATATTGTACTTTGAAAACTTGAAAGTGGGAAAATTATAGTACAAAAATTTGCTACAATACATACGACATTAAATAAGATACAAGAAACGTTGCATCTTTCATTATAACAGCTATAAATAAATGCACAAATAACAAAGATATTACAAAAATTGACCAGACGGCGTTTTCGGTCGACTAGCAGCAGATCCACAAACATAACACCACTTTTACATTTATTTATGAAATAAAAAAAAGTTGTCAACTAGCCTATTCTTAGTTGACTATGATGACTATATCGTTACAGTCTCATTCTACAATCTTAAGGATGTTGATAAGAGTACATATATTTGGTGTATAGAATTCACAAAGTATAGAGTACATATAATCCACATCTCGAATTTAATAATAATATTATAGTGGTAAAATTTTATAATAACTTTGTTTAAGGGAGTGGGTAAAAAGCCAGTATATAAATATAAGACGAAGTTTACTGACAGACTCGACTGATGGAGATATTTGGCACATTAATAATTATTGACGTACAATACAAGTTCGCCAAGAGTGAATTTTGAAAAATAAATCCTAATTAAGTTAGTACTAATAATGTGACAACCCTATAATCAACTCTTTACATTAACATTATATTACTTATTAGATATATTGTATGGCACAGTCAGAAAATAACAATATTCTGGTACATCGTTTGATTTGAAACAAATATTTATCAAGATAGATCAATTCGATTTGTCAATAACATAAATGAGTATAATTTGCTAATATATTATTAGCATAAATTAAAACATATAACTTCAATCTATATTAACATATTACAGAAAATATTCTAGCCGTTTACGGCTATATTTAAGTCTATAGATTTATAAAAACTCTATAAATGGAAAGTTTAGTTGCTCTTAACTTTATGTTTATTCCTTAGTTTAATTCCTATATTTACCCATAACATAGATATTTGAATATGAATAGATAATTGTCGTTTTAAGGGCAATTTCAACTAAATTTAACTTTTTCTCAGTACCTATTAAAAATATTAGACAACATCACATACATTGCTCAGACTCCAAATAAAGTAGCTTTTAGCATTTGCGTTATGGAAATTGGAAACGCAGAGTTACCATCATCTAGATCCGAGACAATATGGAAAAGTCAATTTTTAAAATCAACCTGACCGGGGATCGAAATGGCGTCACCTTGAAAGCGACGTGGCGAGTCACTGCCACGGAGCTATAGTACGAGTAGGTATAGGTAAGTACAGTACGTTAAGTATTCCTAATACAAAACTGTAAATTTTACTGTACCCACGATACAATAAGACTTGTACTGTACTCTCTACCAAACATTACAATACTAAATACCATTTATCACTTCATTTTTTAAGTTTAATAGCCATTAATTGTCAAATTTACTAAAAAAAATCAATAAATTTCAGTCTCGAACTAGTATGTTCTGATTTAAAGTCAGTTCTTATAGTCCTGTATTTTTTCAGCCTTCCAATAATCAAGGGGGCTTTTAAACGGGTAATATTTTTCGGCAATTGAGGTTGCAATACATTGCAAGAAATACCTACCATGCAGTTATATCCCAGCCATAAAACCAAACATTTTTGGTATGGCCAACATTTGTTTTAAAAGGTTGTTAAGACATTTCTGGGCTGGTCAGACAATAATTTGTTAATAGTGTAGGTACTAATTGCCTTATAAAAATATACCCCATTTAGAAGATTCCTACTTCTCTACAGACTTAGAGCACTTTTACATATAGATGTTTTTTTGGTTGCGTTGCGTTACTTTTAAATACTACTTAAGACAGTTCTGGCAGGGCTTGAAACCGGTTCAGAATTAACCTTTTTAATTTAGGTAAAACCTGTTCTCCTGTAATGTTCCGTTCCGGATCGGAACTGAATGCGAAGTGAAATTGGAATGGAATTAAAAACCGGTTTAATGAAGAAAACCATATTTCTAGTGAACCGGTTTAAACCGGATCAAAGAAGCGTAACCTTTTATGTAAAGTTCGGCATGTACTTGCGGTTTCCAAGCTCCAAGATCTTCAACTAGAATGTAACATATAGACTAGACCAACAAATAACTGAATCAAAAGACCAATGAAAGCAATTCATTTGATCATTCTGAATGCACTATTGGTAGCAACACAGCAGAGAATCTAAAATATCTATATGTGAGAGCACTCTAAAAATAAATGCATACTTTATATTACATATACTAATCTTAAATTTATTTGTTAAATTTTTTAGCAATTTGCTTATTAAACAAATAACTTATGATTTGCTAACAATAATTATGACTTATATTAAACAACACAAATATTTTTGTCATTTTCCCACACTTTAACTTATATTTTAACAATGACAATAGAATAGACAGTTAGCACTGTATTATGTTAAACAATTGCACTAACTGAGGACTGTGAAAGTGCAGTGTTAAGTAACTTATTAATAAATAATGTGTTTGTATTGAACACCCTGTGTAAAATGCCGTTTATAAACATGTTTGTTCCTCCTGGTAACCAAAAGGAGATACTAAAGTCTGGCAATTAAGCCAGTGATGTTACTGTTAGTGCTGTAGTATACAATATAATAGCCAACATGACAGTCCCAGACACCAGTGTTATGGCTATTAATTAGACATTTTTCACTTTGAAATAATGAGCAGCAATATTACAAAGCATGCATCTTGACACAAGGAAACTCACCGACTTACTAAGGTCTGTGATAAAATCATAATTTAGTCATTTAGAGATGTGACAAGTGTTTTTAGTAATAAATATATTTAGGTCTTGATAGATTTCATGTTACTCTAACTTAATATAAAATTTATAGATATAAAAGAAATTATTTATTTACAAGAAAATATTATTATGGGTCTTTTGACTTAAATCCAAGAATACCTTAATAAGGATGCACACAAAAGAGCACCATAAGAAAAATATAAGAATGAAAAAAAATATGTTCTTATTGAACGGACATTTATACGTTGATCATCCGTGACGAGGTGGAGGTGCCGGTGTGTTCAGAATAGAGTTAATGAGGGTGGTTAAATCATTGGATAGTTCTTGTGGCAAGCCCAATAAGGGCACCTTTGACAGGTCTCCTAAGCGTAGCGCAAGTGCTAACAGAACAGTATCACGAAGAGTTCTAACGTTAACTGTTATAATCCAGTTTGTTCTATGCTGCGTGCCCTCTAAGTTGCTAGGAACTCGAAAAATCTTCTTGTTGTTTATTAGAAAATTTTCATTTGTAGCAGGATCCTTGAATTCCCATGGATGGGTCAGGTAAGTGGTAACGTCGAAGTAAGTACGTGGTAACATTCGCATATAAAATCGTCTTCTACCTTGAAAATCTCGCCACCAGACGTCTACTGGACGTGTAACGAGGCTATTGATGAAACGTATATAAACGCGATGATCTGAGTTTAATGATTTGACAATCACTCTGTTACCTTTTTCGTCGACTTCATAGATAAATTCACTATTTTCGCCATTTACAGCCATTATAATTGCAAAGATCACTCTATCGATATACCAAATATATGGGCCAGATGTTAAAACACTAAATAAACAGGCGCTATTATAATTTAATCCCTAAATCGATTTTTTAGACGAAGGTGGGTGTTAAGTGCGTGGGTAGGAAATTTTGAATTAACGCGCTTGTCAAATTATGTTGCCAAAGATTGGCAGTATTGAATTGAATATAGTTTGTGAAAATGGCTGTGTGTGTCGCAGTTATCGGCAAAGATGTGAGTTATTATTGGATTATTCGCACTATACTTGGTTCCATATTAATTGAATAAAGGAAAGCATAATCCCCCGATAACTATATTTGGACACAATTTACCTCGTTTTGGTATATTCCTCTTAGTTTTTTCCTAAATAGAAATTTCACTCAATCAAATTTCACTTCAACATCACTCCGTTTAGTTTTCATTAAAGCAAAGGGATCTATATAGTCTATACAGTCCAGTCTTTGGTAATATTTCAATAATTTTCAATAAAATGGTGATTGACGTCTTTGGTGGTTTTCAGATGGCTAGATATAGAAAGAAGTGACCGTTTCGCGCTCTTCCTGTTAACAACCCACGTCATTACGCATTTGTAAACAACTATTTTGTATGATTTCAGAATTCTCCGTTATACATTGGCGGCGTTGGCAATGATACCAGTACAGACAACGAGCTGTCGCGTCAATGGCTCGTACATACAGCTTTAGATGCATTAGAGGAGAGGCTGGCAACGAGTAATTCCAACACCACGAACTCTAATACAAATAACACGCGAACGGATTTACGTGATCTGTACTTGGGCCTATTGTATTCAACTGACACACATAAAATGTTAGTAAATGTTTATGATCAAGGTTTACTCAGGGTTATTTCTTTTTTTTTTGCACTTGCAAAACCCAATTAAGCATGGGTTTGCATGCGTAAGCTTCAAGGACTATGGTTTGCTTGGCTAAATCGATGTAATGTTATCTAAATGATATGTAATAAAATTCGCGTTTTTCATTTTCAGTTATGGTTATGTAACAAATACTCGTATTAAACTAGTGTTGGTTACGAGTTCTACATCACCTAGCGGTAGCAACATCCGCGATGCGGAAGTCAGGACTGCGCTACGTCGCCTGCATGCACTGTACGCCGATGCTATCTGCAACCCATTCCATTTACCGGGAGATCAGATTACTTCATCGTAAGTTAGCATTGCTCAAATACATAACAGATAACAATAACATTAAATAAATATTTATTGCTTTTATTCCAGAAAATTCGACAAACAAGTGAAGAATTTAATGTTAAACAATGTATAAAGAAGCTTTAAAAATATACATTGCATAAGTATAATAAAACACGATTAAGTTAATCACTAATTGTATTTGACTGAGTTCAAATGAAAGTAATATGTAAGTATTAAATAAGCTTTGTAGCTGAAACGATATGTTATCCTTCACGTAAATTAAATCTTGAGTATAATAATAAAATAATTTTATTTTGCCATTTGTTTCTACATTGTGTACGCTCGCGTTGTGGTATTCACAAAATAACCACATAGCGAAATCCGTGTCGTGGCTGTCATGCTATTCGACCACAACGCGTTGTGGCAATAAAGAAAAGCCATGATTAGGTTAGAGTATAACACACAACGCACAAGCTGAGCGACCAAAGCAAGAGTGCCGCCGTAGCGGCCGGCGAAGTGCCAGAAGTGAAGTTCTGCGATGGCCACAACCCATAGTGAGCGTATCCATTAGAGCCATGACACGTATTTCACTGTCTGATAACTTTCTGCAATTGCCAGAATTCGATTGGCTCCAAAGAAGCATTGAGGAAAAAGAAGTTTTTGTACTCAAGTGCTGCTGCGTACACGCAACAGCATGTATTTTCGCAGTTAATTTAGAACTCTACCCATAACGGAATAAGTTTTAAAATCGAGGTTTAAAAGTTTGTATAACGTGCCGTGGTGTTGACTGAAACTTGAGTGAAATTAGACAAATTATCTATGAAATTAATTGGGTATTTGACGCCTTTTGAAAACTATTTTGAACGGTTGTTTGATTGTATTCATTATTAACACGCTGCAAATATATTTCATGATAATGTTTCTGTTCTATTTTCTATGAAAATAATATTTAAAGTTTAAATAGCCAAAATCGCGCAAAAAAACGCTGCTCTATGTAATGGTGCTAATAACGTGGTATTAGTGACGTCAGATGCCGGTAAATAGGTAAAGTGTGAAGGCGACGTAACCTATTTTATTTTGTTTATCAAAACGAGCTACAAATTGTATGTATAAATACATATTTTGCGTATACTGTTTTTACATGACAGTTTCCTGTTTATGTGAGATGTTACATGCCGGTAAAAAGAACCTATTATTGGTTACGACACCCAATGAGAAAGTATTTAAAAAAATAAAGATTTACAAAAATTTTATGTCTCTAGATGGCAGCACAAATTGTTGGATACAAACGTCAATTCATGACCTTAAACCAAAGAGAATAGAATTGTCAGTGTTAGTATTAGGATACGATAACTCGATTAATATCGAGTTGAAATTTAATTACTTCGAGTAATGCAAAACTCGATTAATAGAAAGTAATCTTTGAATAAATTTCTTTTTTATTTGTATAGAAGAAAACTAACATAATGGAAGTGAGCATAGAGGTTTTTTTTTAATTAATGGAAATCAATTGAATTAACACTGATATAAATAAAAGTGGCTTTTAGCTACGGTATACAATAATATTACCGCCAAATAGTTTTTATAAATAAAATTCTTATGCCATAGTAGGTCTAGAAATTTTTCATTATAATATTTAACAAAAGTTCTGAAAACAATAACAACTAGATAAGTTTGTTTTATTGCTATTAGTTGTTTGTTGAACTTACAACAACAGAACTACATCAAGGCTCAATAATATTTTTATATTATGTATGGTGAAAGAATGAATAGGGTTTATTAATCAGCAACAAAAGTCATAAAAACGATAATTATAATAAAAAAACCGTTAATTATCTGTATACTTACCCGATATGTATCAAATATACTAGGTATTCGTACAAAATCATATGACTTCTGGCTAAAATGACATTTGTGCAAAAGTAACGTGCAAATAATTTGTGCTTTCGAAATAAAGACTTTAAAAAACTAAGCAGTTATTAAATAATATATTCATAATTAAATCATCTTAAGAAACATTCGGCAATCAACGAACAGCAAGGTTATAACTTTAAATTTCAAAATCACAAAGACACATACAGTTATTATACTGTGGCTACTGATCTTGCATGACGACGGCGAATGTCGAGCCATGTATTACGTTAATTCGTACGGTAGGTATGTGCTTTTTGGTTCTTACAATAATATTGTTAATAATAGATTGACTTCCTTCACAATCTACTCTAGAAATCAGTTTTATTGAAATATATTATTAACTTAGTACCTAGAGTAGTCATGGTCTCTTAAAATCTCTGCGGTGGTGTCGTGTGTGTTAGGTCGTTACGTTCCCTCAAATATAGTGTAGTTGAAATTACAAAAGCAGCCCTTGCTGAGTTTTTGCCGATTCTTGTCAGTACGAGATCTCCCGCCTTAGTTTTGCGAACCATTGGCAAAGTTTTCGACTTTCACAAGTAATATGTAACAGCCTAGACTGAATTGATTTTAATATTTATATTAATATCATTCGTTGTGTGGATGCATAATGACACATACAAATACAAAGCTGAATTCTGCGCTCCGCTTTTTGTTCTTCATTCCAAACCTGAATTCGGATGAAAGTTACGAGTAACCAATAAATTGGCTCGTCACTAATGTTGATGTATAAACCAAACATCGTTCCTTTACACGTAAAATAATAAACAACTTAAAATTACGATTAAAATAAATTAAAATTAATTTGAAAGTTAGATATTATAAGAAACACAAAAAGATGTCATATTTATAATTTTCGATACTCAACTTTACTTTTATTACGTCAGAAACAAAATTTGAATGAATATCATAAACAAAATCCAAACATCACGAGTGACATCTAGTATGATTTAAAGAACTAATTTTTATTTTTTAAATACTTCCTCATTATCTTTTTATGTAATAGCTATTTCAGGTATCCTTGGGTTTTTCAATTTTTTACACACATTATAATTAAACAATTTAACGTTACTATGTTAAGAAGGCAATTTATAGCGGAATACTCGTTCAGTACTATTAAGGTAGTGGTGGTTTTTCTCAGTATCTAGAGATTTTTATGGGGGGCAAGCCAATATGAGTGCCAAAATCATAATTAAATAATACCATATAATATAATACACATAAATCATATAATAATATAAAAATATTTAAACGGAAGTCGCCATACGAAATTTAACCAATAACTAGCGTGTCTTAATCCGCTAGTTATTGGTTAATATCGATGCAAAAACATCGAAATAAAAATATATAGTTTTCAGAGTTTTTATGTATGTTTTGTGTAAAAAAAAAGGTTATTTCGTCAGACTTATTTATTGTTAAATTCCATGTCGTTCATTAAATCGATGTTTTCTCACTTTATATCTGTGTGCCTATTCGTACAATATTCCAAAAGTCTCTGATATCAATTCTGTCATCAAATAAATAATATAAACTGAATCAACACAAATAAAATAATTATTATTTGAAATAAAAATGAAATATAAAAGAAAAATAAATAAAATATTATTAGTACTGAAACGATTTGGAACATGTAGAAAAAGGTCGAGTGTTACTTATGTATTCGTATCTATTATACTCGAGTACGAGAGAAAATAAAACAAATTAAAAGGCTTTTAAGTTTTAATATAACAATAAAAATTAAAAACCTGTTTTGTTTAATAAATTGAGTGGGGCGTTATGAGTTATTTTCTCATTTTCGATTAACCTAATCAATGGAGTGGCTACTAATTGAATAATCAATTATTGGTGATGTCCGAACTCGCTATGGATGAATATCGAACATCCATATTCTCTTTCATGTCGTAATTGTCAATCAAGCTGTTCTCCGGTTCAGCGCTGAGCAATTTTTATTACTAAAGTTGTTTATCTCGACCGGGAAATCGCATCAATATGGTGAGTTTTCTTCATAATATTCGTGTATATATAACATAGCTACATGAAAGCTCGTGAACGTTGTTAATTCTTCACTTTCCACTTATAGGTTAGAACCTTCATACACGTGTCAACGAAATTAATTACAAATTACTATGTTTACCTAATATGTACCTTTACTATACTGGCTAGATACTAGATAAACTCACTAATTAAGTCTTTGAAAATCATTTTAAACAATAGAAGCTATAATTGGTTAATATACTTTGTACTGTATTGACTATCCCACCGTGTAACTTTAGGCAGCCGCCGTCGTCGCCGGTAAGGATATCGAGAAGCCCCAGGCTGAGATCTCTCCAATTCACCGCATCAGGATCACCCTGACTTCACGCAATGTACGCTCACTCGAGAAGGTTTGCGCTGACCTCATCAACGGAGCAAAGAAGCAGAAACTCCGCGTGAAGGTAAATGTTTTGTAATCTATAAAGAATTTTTATTTAAAAAAGTTATTATTTAGCAAACAACACAGTGATGATATTTAAAAACAGATTGGTACACAAAATTTGTCTGGAAGAAAGAAGGGAAGGCCTGTCTATATTATCCAAAACTGAATCACAGACTATTAATGATAAACAGTAACAATTGATGCACTGTCCAAAAGCAACTCTTTAAATATTAACATAATTGTGGTGTGTCAGTTCCTATGTATAACTAAAGAATCTATCATCATTGATTCATCAAGATTATAATGATTGGATTCTGGAATATAAAGCAGTGTGAAAATGCAATTAATTGAAATATCATTTAAGTGCTATTATTAGGTAATATAACAAAATCAAAGTTCCGTTCAAAATATGTATATAAATGACCACTAGGGTCTTTTGTATGATGAACCCTTACAAAAATTTGTTCATCTTGGGGTCAAACACTGAATTCATTAATAACTGTGCCATCAGGCTTCTCTTGTAAGATTTAATATAAGAAATACTTTTTTACTCCAGTTATAGTAAGTTAACTTTTATTTTCATAGTTATTTTCTATATTAAAATCTCTGTTTAATAGGGTTAAACTAAATTAATTTTAGTTTGTTGCTAACAGAATTGTCACCATTGGCTGTAGCAATAAGTAAAACTATTTTATGGATAGCGCTATGATGAAGACATTGCATGTTAGTATGGCCATGTTCACTAAAATAGCGCAACAATAGCACTCTTCAAAGTGCAGTGTGTGGTTAATACTATAACACATTCTGCTCATAGGGGAGTAACAAGTTTTGTTGTATTTCAAATATAAGGCCATGATCTACTATGCAAAATATAGTTTTATACTTTTTACTAAATGGTAATATTAATTATTTTGATGATGTCTATCTATTGACATTCACAATATTCACTTAATATAAGTATCTATTCTAATATTGTAAAGTGGAAAGATTTCTATTTTTGTTTGCTTCGAATAAGTTCAGAAACTACTGCACCTATTTTATAAATTCCTCCATCTACATGAGAAGTCAGGCAAACAGCTAGTATTTCATATAGTTCTATATATAGTAATAAAGAATTCATGAAGTAAATATTGAATGTGATAGGATTTTTTTTAAAATCCGATTTATATATATATAAGACTTAATCTAAGTTTCATAATTTCATATTTTTTTATAAAGTGTCATTGCAGACAAGAATAAACCTGGTGTAAATCAGTAGTGGTCTCCAATATTCATGAATAAAAAGTCTAAATACTAAAAATCTGCAATTTCACACAATTTTTTGTCTTTCAGGGTCCCGTGCGCATGCCCACCAAGATCCTCCGTATAACCACTCGCAAGACCCCTTGTGGTGAAGGTTCCAAGACCTGGGATCGGTTCCAGATGAGGATCCACAAGAGAGTGATCGACCTCCACTCACCATCAGAGATTGTGAAACAGATCACCTCCATTAACATAGAGCCTGGTGTAGAGGTGGAAGTAACTATCGCTGACGCGTAGGCACAGCTGCCAAATAAACTATTTTAAGATAGAATTGATTTTTATATGTCCTATAAAAAATACAAAAATATTTTATTAGGTAAATAAAATTGACAGATACCCATATTGCTATAGTTTTAAAAAAAACTTTTTAAATAGAGTCGTACATCTGTCATATGTTATATTTAAAAATATATACAGTGTCACTGATACCCTATGCAGTTTGTGGTCACTGGGGATGATGTAACGTTTCTAATATGTATGTATATTCATCATATCCGTTATGTCTCAAAAGTTATGGTGGAATAAAAAAACATACATATGTTAACTATTAAACACAATAGAATCCTTTTATTGTGCAGTCATGTTAAAATGTTTGCTGTAGCTCGGTGGCGTAGTGGATAAGCGCCGCGGCCCGCGATCGTAGTCGTTAAGCAACTTTCGCAAGGGTCGGTTACGGGATGGGTGACCAAAAAATTATTATCTCGAACTACTCCGTGCTTCGGAAGGCACGTTAAGCCGTTGGTCCCGGCTGTATGTGCAGTCGTTCATACTCTCCAATCCGCATTGGGCCAGCGTGGAGGGTCATGGCCCATCCTTCTTAACCATCCATAAGGAAGGCCTGAGTCCCTGCAGTGGAGACGTAAAAGGGCTGGTGATGGTGTTAAAATGTTTGGGAATCGACAACGAATCTCACCATAGAAATACTAAAAAATGTGCAAAAATTGGGAAAACTATGTAAAAAACTTGATCGTAGTTTCAACACAATATTGTAGACCCGTGATCTTGAACAAGTTGTCGAGAACTCGGGACCACAGTACAAATATATAAGTAGGTTTACTCGAGATCCGAGCGAGAGATAATAGTCTAAACATGTAGGGCTGTCGCTTGTTATTCAATCGTCAGAAATGTATGGTCAAAATAATCAGGCTACGAATAAAATAAGATAATGCCGATCTTAATTTTTAATAATCATGTGCTTACAATCAGTTTTATCTCAATGGCCCATATTTTCTTTATACTACATTGTCTAATAAGCAAATATACAATTCAATATCACTTTCAATAGGGTATTTGATACTTTTCTGAAAACTATTTTAAATCGTTGTTTGCTATATTATAAACACATTGTCATAATATTTTATTGGTATCTTTTCTATTTTTGGTGAAAATAATTGTTAAAATTTAAATAGCCAAAAGCGCGCAAAAAGCGCCTCGGCGCTGATCGTGACGTCACAGGCCAGTAAATATCAAATCGATAAGTAACAACTGTTTTTAGAGTAAATTGAAATAATAATTTAGAAGAGAAATTGAAGTCGTAGTGCGTATTTTTTACGTTTTTTATTTTCCTCTGCTTTGGTTTTTTTTTAAATGAGCCACAAGTGGTGCGTAGTGCCACAATGTACTAATACTTCTATAAATAACAAACAAACTTCGAGTCTAGAAGAAAATAGATTCACAATCACAATAGTATAGTAGTTATATAGAGTACCTAGAGATGGGTGATAAATAAAATTAGGTAAGGATTCGCTAAAAGTATTGAAACTTTTATTTCATATCGATACATATGAAGGTTTTCTTTTTGATTTTTTTATTTGTCATAAACATTTTACGACTCATTTATTTGTAGACAGGGCTCGCACTTTACAGCCTGTCGACCTACAGATGGATGAGACATTAGTACGATAAAAAATGTTCAATTTTTTTTATACATGCATGTAGTATGTCTGTCCACTAACTGCATGGCATTTGATAATTAGATATCAGATCCCGATGATTTTTTAAAATCAGTTTTTTACTTGGAGAACAGTTTTCCTATTTCTTGGATTTTTTTAAAAAGCTTAGTAAATGATTCTTTATTTCTGTATTTCTTTTTGGCAGTTCTTATCAGTAGAAGCGGCAAAGTATTCTGTTATCAGTAAATTACTATAAAGTACTCGATACCTGGGTAGGTATCGAGTACTTTATAGTAATTTACTGATAGGGTAGGGTTACAGGCATCGATATTTTATGTATCTTTCTAACATTACTTTGACATGACAGATGATGACGTCACAGGCCAGTATTCAGAATCGTGATTGGTTGTGACGACGACCAATTATAGGACGTTTTCGTCGTTGAATAAATTCCTAAAAATATTGCATTTTCTTTATGTTATTTTAAATCTAAACATGTTTTTTCTGCAGATGTTAAGAAATAAGCTTTATTAGATTATTATCTATCAGGATGTCCACAAAATGAAACTTATTTTCGATAGTGTCAAATACCCTGTTTGGCGGCTCAGACCAAATAATAAGTATAGACGGAGTTTTGCCTAACAGAATAGTGAAGCCACAGAACACAATTACCTGAAAAAATTACACAATAATGTCATTGCTTTATTGGTCAATGTACACTGGGATGCTGTGCTCATATAATGACCATAGTTTGGTATTTTGGATGGTCTAGACACGAACAGAATGTACCGTAAAATGGGGTGAAAAGGGATTGAGAGATGAATAGGGATAAAACCAGGAAAATATTTCGACGCTTAATATTACTACTAAATTCGTTACAAATTCTTCCATTTTTTTGTGGTATAATAGTAGAATATTGAAAGTTCTCAAGGCAACACTAAATATACATGACATTATATATGTGGAAACGGTCAAAAATCCAATTTGAAAGTTACTTGTTGTGGTGGTCATTATTTTTGTGTTAGAAACTTTGTTCTCTTTAATTTATCTGTTAATAATAGACGACGGCTGTGATTTCAAAACGTTATTTAGTATTTGGGCCTACATATATATTATAGGTAAGTCTCAGTTTTTATTGGATTTTAATGTTTTTTGATAATTTAGAAATGTGTATAAAATCTGTTGTTTTCGGGGTGAATGGGGACGTCTCAGGTATTAATAAAAACGAAAGAGATGTCAATGGGGATGAGAATATGTTAAATAGGAACGACTCAAGTATGACTAGGTACAGGTTAGTAGGGTTGTCACTAAGTAATTATAAAAAAAAATACGTGTACGCAAGAATTTGGTTTATTCATGATGTTTTTGTGTAGAACTTTTATTTAATTAATTATGCAGTTTTATTTTATTGTGTTGTAAATATATCAAAGGTACGTTCATTTACCATTTTCAGATATGCCTCGCGTATACATATCAAAAAGTTCGAAGCCAATGCAAGCCCTAGCAAATTTCTCTACTGACTATTTTCGTCCCCATTAACCCCAATTTCTGGGTAAATAGGAATAGCATCTATTTTTGCCTTTTTAGCTTAAACTGGAATCCTTATTGCATAGTTTTAAATAAGATTACAAAGATACCATCAAGACTCAATTATTTTGATCCTGATATAGCAATATATCCTTCAACAATTATCTTCAAATTGTTCATAAAGTTGGGAATAGGGATGATAATTAATTTTTGTTTGTTTGTCCGTCAGGTAGTGTTAAAAAATATTAAACACGTATTTTTTTATTTTTTCGTAATCATAAAATAACGGCGTTACATTGAGTTGAAATTTCGCATGACGTCACGTTAGAGTACGTTTTCTACTTAACTGTGACGTAGCCAGCCCCCACTCCTCAACTTTAATGCCTGTTATCTAAGTTATTTCTTGTTAAATTGAAGAAAAAAAAAACGTATCAAATATTTTTCTATAATCTGACTGACGGACTAAATAGAATTGCATTTTTTTTACCCAGTCATCATCCCTATTGTCCCTATTCACCCCATTTTACGGTAGCTGCTCCTGCAGCATTCCGTGATGAGGTACCTATTCATTAGTTGTAATAAAGAAAAGAAAAATCAACATGTTTTGCTAAACCATTATGAAATTAGTAATTTCACTACTACTTTATATACGTTATAGTGTAAGATAGAAAAGTAGAGATATTGAGAATAATCTTAAAATTTTTTTTTTTGGTGTTCATTGGTTCACAGTAAAAATGTTTTTATTTCTTACAGTGAATAAAAATAATATATCAGATATGGAGCAAGTTTTAAGTATTATGTGAAAGTATACACTGCTAGGACCACGATTAGGTATTATCTGACGTGTGCTTTACATATTTCAACCTCAGACCAAATAAAAAGTATAGACGGTGTTTTGCCTAACAGAAAAGTGAAGCCGACAAAACTACGCCTCGGCGTATTCGTACACAGTTTCACGCACACATACATAACGAAACTACGCCTTCCTTATCAGTCTAACTAAAGACAGTGTGCGGAACGTTTCATTATAAAAAAAATCAAAAATTTCTTATTAACTGCCGAATTGTGTAGTAAAAGGTTGTAAAAACCAATCCTCAAAAACTAAAAAGCAGGATGGAATCACATTTCACACATAAGTATTGAAGAAAACTTACATTTTCAGTAATTTAAAAATTAAATTTAAGTAATTGCTTGGAACACAAAACCTCAGCCAAATGTTACCATCGTTAAACGTTATTATTTACCCCGAAATCAGGTAACTTTAATTTTATAACGCGTTATTTCTAACAAAACACAAATTACGTTATGTATTTTTTTCTTGTTGTATGGAAATGATATTTATAATAAATTTTGCATTCAAAATGCTACATAGAGGTCCAGATCACAGATATTGAAGTGTTAGAATAAGGAAGTAAAAAATAAAAAACGGGTTTAATTTTTTACTTCTTTATTTTTACTAAACGGGTTTGCATACATTTTTTCATTTCCAAACCGACATCAAAATGTGAAAGAGAAGTGGATTTCAGTCATTCGTAATAGTCGAAATGAACCTTCATGGAATCCAACTTCGGGCAACGTAGTTTGTTCGACTCATTTTAAGAGCGATGATATGTATTATACTATAAAAGGGTTACGTCGAATAAAGCAAAACTTATATTCAAAGGTTTCAAACTTTCTATATATTAAAATTTTAGTTAACATAGTGGAAGTTTTCAAACTTAACTTAAAAATTAATTAAATAGTCTCTCTAATGTATGGCCTCCAATAATAATTACCTACTCTTAAAGATTTTAGAATATCTATGCTGATATTGACAAATGAATTTACATTATATTATTAAATAGCATAGCGGTAACGTTAACTCTATAACGTCGTAACGTTAAGTTATTGGGGTGGTTTTAATGACTATGGTCACACTGGC